TGGAATAGTTTAGGTTAGATGGGCTTCAGATTGGTTTCACAGGTCGGTGCAACATCGAGGGCCGAAGGGCCTGTACTGCGCTGTAATGTTCTATGTTCTATGTTCTTTTCTTTTATTCTTTCTTGGGATGTGGGCATCACTGGCAAGACCAGCTTGTCCCTAATTGCCCTCGAACTGAGTAGCTCACTCAGCCACTTCAGAGGGCAGTTAAGAGTCAACCACATTTCTGTGGGTCTGGAGCCAAATGTAGGCAACACTGGATAAGGGCTACAGATCTCCTTCCCTAAAAGATAGAATCCCGACACCGTGGAAAGAGGCCATTCAGCCCATCGAGTCTGCATCCAAAGAGCATCCCACCCAATCCCTACACCCCTGCATTTCCATGGCTGATCCACATAACCTACACCTCCCTAGACACTAAACTGGTAATTTAGCACAGCTAATGCACCCTAACCTGTACATCTGTGGGAGGAAAACGGAGCACCCAGAGGAAACCCACAGACACAGAAAGAATGTACAAACTCCACGCAGGCAGAGTTGCTGGAGGGTGGAATCAAACTCAGCCCCTGGCGCTGTGAGGCAGCAGTGCTAACCACTGAGCCACCCATAAAATTAGCAAACTAGCTGATTATTTTACAAATAAAAATGACAGATGCCATGGTCGCCATTAATGAGGTTAGCTTTCATTTTTAATTCACTAAGTTTAAATTCCACCAGTTGGCGTTGGGAGGTGAGGATGAGAAGGGATTTCAGCTGAAATCCCTTGACTTTTATCTGGTGCCTTTTGGCGCAATGACAGTACCACCCCACACTCCAAATAATGAGGAGGTGTCCCAGATTATTATGAATGCTTGAATAGGTGAGCAACTGCATTAGCTTAAGAGGCAACATAATATGGGATCATGTAAGTGTCCTCTTGTGGTGAAGTGGTAATGTCGCTACCCCTGGACTAGGAGGCCTGGGATCCTGTCCCACTACCGCGAGAGCTGTGTAATCACATCTTTGAAACAGTTGATAAGAAAAATAGGTTAAAAAAAAAGGGGTCATGTTAGCACTGTCCTTGCTTTGTCTGTTTCTACTATATCTCCCAGTTGTTCAACCCTTCAAGAACTCTGCATTATTAATTCTTATGGCTGCTCCGTCCCTGATTTCCTTTACCTGCCTGGCATCGGAGTCCTGTCCCAAAACATTTCCCCCCAAATGACACATCTCAGGAAGGACCTTTGGGTGTGACACATTAAACTGAGGCCCACAGCTCTCTCTCAGGTGGAAAACCTAAATCCTTGACCAAACTTTGAGTCAGCTCCCTTCAATGCAACTGGGTGTCAAGTTATGTCCGATCCTATGTAGCAGGGTGTTTCTCTTGAGAGAGAGAGAGAGTTTCTGATGTGCAGGTTTTTGTCGTTGATGAAGAAAGGGGACAGAATCCCTGATGGATCGAATGGACCAGACCCTCTCCTGTCCAGCTCTCACCATTTCCCAGAAGTAGGTGGACATCTCATTGCGGCTTTGCAGGACTGCCCAGATGAACAGGTCTGTCCAGGGAGTGGCGCATTTCCTCATCTGATAGGACAGCTCCTGAGGTTTCAGTAACTGAAATCGAAGACGTGATTATTATTTGGTGATATTAGGTTCACGCTTAACTCCGTTAGGATCGATTCTAACCCTCAAGCCGGCAGGTCAAGAGTTCCCATCGGCCCTCCCTTGGCAGCTCTGTGTGGTTCTGAGGGAGTGTTGCACTGTTGTAGGTGCCATCTTTCCCCATGTTCTACTTAAAGCCCTGGGCAAAACTCACTCCCCAAGACCAATTCCAACAAAAGTGATTCATTGCTTATCATCCTCATTGCTGTTTGTGAGACAGTAGAAAGAAAGACTTACATTATATAGAGTCATAGAGTCCTACAGGAAACAAACCCTTCGGTCCAACTCAATCTGACCTAGTCCCATTTGCCAGCATTTGGCCCATATCCCTCTAAACCCTTCCTATTCATATACCCATCCAGATGCCTTTTAAATGTTGTAATTACACCAGCCACTTCCTCATTCCATACGCACACCACCCTCTGGGTGAAAATGTTGCCCCTCAGTTCCTTTATAAATCTTTCCCTTCTCACCTTAAACCTATGCCCTCTAGTTTTGGAGTCCCCAACTCCAGGAAAAATACCCTGCCTATTCACTCTATCCACGCCCCTCATGATTTTATAAACTTCTATAAGATCAGCCTTCAGCCTCTGATGCCCCAGGGAAAAATGCCCCAGCCTATTCAGACTCTCCCTATAACTCAAACCCTCCAATCCCAGCAACATCTTTGTAAATCTTTTCTGCATCCTCTCAAGTTAAAAACATCTTTCCTATAGGAGCGAGACCAGAATTGTGCGCAGTACCCTAAGAGTGGCCTTGCCAATGTCCTGTACAGCTATGACTTGTCATCCCAACTCCTATACTCAATGTAGTAACCAATGGAGGCAAGCATGTCAAATGCCTTCTTCAAAATCCTGTCTAGCTGTGGCTCCACTTTCAAGACAATATGCATCTGCACCCCAAGGTCTCTTTGTTCAGCAACACTCCCCAGGACGCTACCTTTAACTGTATATGTCCAGCACCTCACTTTTATCTAAATTAGACTCAATTTGCCACACATTTCACAGCCTCATGCTGCCCCGTAGCACTTTAGAGCCAATGAAGTAATTTCAAAGTGTAGTCACTATTATAATGTAGGAACTTGGGCAGCCAAGGTGCACACAGGAAGGTCCCACACCGGCAATGCAATGATGACCAGGCACTCTGTTTTTGTCACGGTCGCTGAGGGGTGAAAATTGGTCAGGAACTCAGGCAGAACTCCCATGAGATGGTTTACACCCAGCTGAGAGAGCGTTGGGTGGGGAAAGGCTCAGTTTGACCCCTCACCCAAAGGTTTGGCACTGCTGACAGTGCAGCACTCTGGCACAAGAGCATCAGCCTTGACCATGTCATGGGAACGAGGAACAGAGACTCTAGCCGATGACCTTTCTGACTCAAAGGCAAGAGCTTTCTCTCAGCAGTTGAGAGAACAGACCCAAGGGGATGAATGGCCTCCGTGTTACTGAACGAGCTGTGCTCTCGAAGCCATTGGGCCAGGGTGGTGGTGGGGGAGGGCGGAAGAGTTTGCGAATAAAATGCGCGATGCTAACTGTTCCCACTCAGCGCAAATTCAAGACTTTCGAGCCTGGAAAAACAGACCGGAAGTCTGACTCTTACTGGCTTGTTTCTGTGTGAATCGGCCTGTTTGAAGAGTTGTCCATACATGGGCTCGCAAAAATCTCCCATCAGGTCCTTCAGCACCTTCAACACCTCGAGGAGCGTGTAGCTCTGCTGAGCCCCAGATAAGTTTGGGTTGACAGGCAGCAGCATGGACTCCTTGCCCCCTTGCAAGGACCTCCTCTCCTCCTTCTTCTTCTGTAGGAAGCTATTGAGGAGAGATTTGCTTGCCACCATGCTGTAGAGCTCCTCCAGGCGTCGGTATGAGAGGTACTCCACCATGTTAAACCCGTTGTCGATGAACAGCTTGACAAACTCCGTCTTGTCGTTCACCAGGGCGGCAGTCATGGGGTCCTCCAGGTCGCTAGACTGTAAAGGAAACAACAGGGTGAGCCCCTCGGCCTGTTCCCATTGCCTGTTCCTCGCCTCTCCCGATGCGATTCTCTGTCATAGAGTTACAAAGTCATACAGCGCAGAAACAGACGCAACATGTCCATGCTGCTCAGGCTTGCAAAATAAACTAGTCTCACTTGCCTACGTTTGGCCCATATCCCTCTGAACCTTTCCTATCCACGTACCTGTCCAATGTCTTTTAAATGTGTAACTGTATCTGCATCCATCACTTTCTCGGGCAGTTCATTTGACACATGAACCACTCCGTAAAAACGTTGCCCCTCAGGTCCCTTTTAAATCCTTCCCCTCAAAATTATGCCCTCTAGTTTGAACTCCCCTACCCTAGGATAGGATCTTTATTTTTCACCCTATCTATGCCACTCATGAGTTTATAAGCCTCTACAAGGTCAGCCCTCAGCCTCCTATGCTCCAGGGAAAAAATGTCCCAGCCTATGCATCCTCTCCTTATAACTCAAACCCTCCAGTCCTGGTAACCTTCTCGTAAATCTTTTCTGCGCTCTTTCCAATTTAATAATATCCTGTATAGTTACTTAGGTTTTTGTGAAGGCATGAAGCCCAGCTCTATGGCACATGGGATTCAGATACCAACAGGCCACAGTGTGCTGGCTCAGTCAGGCCAGGACTTCGCCTGCTACAACAGGCATTGTGAATTTCTGGGCCTGGCTGCAGAATGGGGGTGGGATCCCCAGAGGGAATAAAAACAGTAAAAAGACAGTCATACTTGGAAATGACATACTGATCAAGCCATACTGGAGCTCCATTTTGAAGTGGCCATACCAGACCGCCATACGAGACAAGTTGTATCAATAACGTTAAAAAAAACAAAGCATTGCAGATGTTGGAAATCAGAAACAAGAACTGAAATTGCTGGAAAAACTTAGTAGGTCTGGCAGAATCTGAGGAAAGAAAGCAGAGTTCACATTTCGGGTCCAATGACCCTTCTTCAGAATAATACGTATCTTTCACAAATTTTACTGGTCTTTCCTCAAGGCCTCATCTGCTGCAGTAAAGCCATGGAAAAAAAAGTTATGTATGGACCCTGCCAGTGTTCTATTTTCAGGTACTCAGAACGAGTTGGACCAGTTTACATCATTTTCCAGTTCCACTGGTTTTTCTGCTCTTCAGAGGCTTCTGCAATAGGCCTCAGTGTTGCTAGGCTGCAGTGTACATGGCCAGACTGTGGAGGACTATTATAACCCTCGGTGAAATTGCCAAGCTGTAGATTAATTCACGATCAGGAGGCCTCCTACAATAGGCCTCAATATTGCTAGGTTGTAGATAACAAGACCCAGGCTTTAGAGCCTGCTAGAAGTGTTGCTAGGTTTCACAGAAGAGGCCTCCTCCATGTAAGTCTCAATGGTGGGCCAATACAGGCCTCACTCCTACCATAGGCTCATTATGTTGCAGAATATGGGATGTTACCAACATTGTTACATTTCTGGAGGAGTCATCTCCTGACCTTTGAATCAAGAATGTCTATGAGTGTATATATGAAGTTTTAATTTGTTCACGAGATGTGGGCATTGCTGGCTAGACCAGGATTTATTGCCCATCCCTAATTCCCCTGGAGAAGGTGGTGTTGAGCTGCCTTCTTGAACCAGTGCAATCCTAAGTATGTTGGGATGACTACAGCGTTGTTACAGAGGGATTTCCAGGATTTTGACTCCGTGAAACTGAAGAAATATTAATATATTTGCAAGCCAGGATGGTGAGTGGCTTAGAAGGTGATTTGCAGGTGGTGGTGTCCCCACGTATCTGTTGCCCTTGTCCTTCTAAGGGTAGAGCTCATGGTTTGGAAGGTGCTAACAGAAGATCATGGGTTTGTAAGGGGCATTGGTAGATCCTTGGTATATTTCTGCAGTGTATCCTGTAGATGGTACACACTGCTGCTACCGTACATCAATGGAGAAGTGGGTGAACATTGAGTGTGGTGGACCAATGAAGTCGGCTATTTTGTCTTGGATGATGTGAGATTCTGAACTGTTACAGAGACTGCACATGTCGACTTAAGTGGGGAATATTCCATCACAGTCCTGATTTGTATCTTGTAGATGGTAGACAGGCTTTGGGCAGGTAGGAGGTGAGTTACTTCCCTCTGAATTCCAATCCTCTGACCCTGATGCCATGGTATATGGCTGGTCCAGTTCCGTTTCTCGCTCGTGTTGATGGTGGGGGATTGTGCCATGGTAATGCTGGTGAATGCCAAGAGGCAATGGCTAGATTCACTTTTGTTGGAGCTGGTCATGGCCTGGCACATGTGTGGCACAAATGCTATTCATGTTGCACAACCTTGATTTTTTTTTAAGAAAAGTGAGCAAGGAAAGTGATTCAAGAGAGTGAAAGACAATCTTTCTTCCCTATTGGGTATTTTAGTCATGGTAACACTCTGAAGGTGTGTCTTTGGTTCCTGATAATTCCGAGCCAGTCCTGGAGAGTTGGTGAACATAGAGAACATAGAGAACAGTACAGGCCGTTTGGCTCACGATGTTGTGCCAAACTTTTACCCTAAACCTAAGGTCTATCTAACCTCCACCCCTACCTATCATCCATATGCCTATCTAATAGCTTCTTAAATGGCCCTAATGAGGCCGACTCCACTATCCTCTCCAGTAATGCATTCCACGCCCCGACCACTCTCTGAGTAAAGAACCTACCTCTGACGTCTCCCCTCTATCTACCTCCACTCACTTTAAAACTATGCCCCCTTGTAATAGCTACGTCCACCCTAGGAAAAAGTCTCTGGCTGTCCACTATCTATACCTCTGATCATATTGTATATCTCTATCAAGTCACCTCTCATCCTTCATCGTTCTAAAGAGAAAAGCACTAGCTCTCTCAACCTTTCCTCGTAAGATCTTCCCTCCATTCCAGGCAACATCCTGGTAAATCTCCTCTGCACCTTTTCCAACGCTTCCACATCTTTCCTGTAATGAGGCGACCAGAACTGGACCCAATACTCCAGATGTGGCCGAACCAGGGTTTTGTATAGCTGGAGCATAACTTCACGGCTCTTGAACTCAATTCATCAGTAACTTTCAATTCCAATCACTCGACAGTGATTCCCATTGTCCCCATGACCGACACGAGACTCCCCAAGCAGGTGCTGTACTCCCAGCCTCAGAACGCCAGGCGAGCCCTACATGGACAGAAGACAGAGATCCCCACAAGGCCTCACTGGGGAAGTGCAGCATTCTCACAGACACCTGGGAATCACTGGCCCCACACCGTCCAAAGTAGGCGAGGAGCATCTGGGAAGGCATCAAGCACATCAAGACTCGCTGTTGGGAGAAAGAGGAAGCCAGGCGCAAACAGCGAAAGGAGCGTACTGTCCCACCCGACTCTTTCCCGCGACCACCTTCCGCCCCAAGTGTAGCAGAGCGTGCGGAAGCCATGCTGGTCTGTACAGCCACCTACGGACTCACCCCGAGAGTGGTGGAGAATCATCCTCGTCTGCGAGGGACCTCTAATGAATGAATGGATGACACATAGGGACACTAGGGTGGGATTGGGATTGACTGCTATGTTGGTCATGACCCTCCGCGTCTGGACGCCATTGTCATGCTGGGCATTGGTTGGGGTCTTCAGGGAGTGTCTTTGAACGATGGCCAGGCTAGAAAATGGTGGGGGTTAGCGCAGGAGGGATTGTAAAAAAGAAAGGTTCTACTTTCACATTCTTCAACCCTTCCCTCATTCACTGCATTTGTATAGCACCTTCAAAATAGTAAAACTCCCAAAATGGAATTGTAATCTTAACAGTTTGTGTTGTCCAATCTCACGGTCTTAGACATCCAGCTCCAGTCTTTTCCAGTCTCCGTACACATGTACACACCCACACACACATGCACACACTTACTTTCCACTCGATTTCTCCATTAAATAATTGGCTTTTGGCAATATCCACTCGGCTCCAGGCCACCGCCAGTTTCAGCTCATCGAGGTAACTCTGGGCATCGGTTCTCTCCTTTTTACAGGCTGTGGAGGGACAGAGAGCAGGGTTCAATGTCGGTGTCCCTCTTCACATCTTCCCTCCTTTGTACACCCCCAACACACATCTCCAAGAGTTAGCGCTGGCAGTGATCAATAGTGGGAGAAATTAATCTGAGAATGGCCCATGCCAATAGCAGTCAGTCCTTGGGATAGTCTACAATGGACTGATCAATCCTGCATGGGGTCAGCCCTGAGAATGGTCAGTCCTGGGGTGGGGGGTAGAGGTGGGGGTGAGGTTCAGTCCTGCTGGGGGGGGGGGGGGGGGGGGGGGGGTTCGTTCTGGCCCGGGCCGGGGGGGGGGGGGGGGGGGGGGGGGGGGTGGGGGGGGGGTGCAGTGGTGGTCAGTTCTGCAAAGGGCAGGGGGAGGGGGAAATGAATCTTTTATTTGTCGTAGACATTGTAATAATATTCAGGTGAAGACCTGAATGCTGTTATCAGCCAAATAAAAAACAAAGAGGTGCATCACTGGAACACCTCCCAGAACTCCAAGCTGTCCCGTTGCACTTTCCAGCCAATGATGTTCTTCTGCAATGTAACCACTATTGCAATACAGGAAACGTGGCAGCCAGTTAATGCACAACAAACTCCCACAAACACTGGTGAGATAACCACCAGTGATGCTGGCTGAGGAATAGATATTGACTAGGATACTGAGCAGACTTTTGACAATTTTCTTCGGAATAGTGCCATACCTTTCACCTTCACCCGAGAGTTCAGGCAGCGCTATGTTTCAATATCTTATCCAAAAGGTGATGTCTACAACAGTGCAGTACCACCCCAGGTTCAACCTTGATATTAGTGTTTACATAGAGTCGTAGAATCATACAGCATTGAAACAGACCCTTCGATCCAACCAATCCATGTTGACCATAATGCCAAACTAAACTAGTCCCACCTGCCTGTGCTTGGCTCTAATCTCTAAACCTTTCCTATTCATGTACTTTTAAAGCTCTTTTAAATATTGGAACTGTACCTACATCCACCACTTTCTCTGGAACACATGAATCACTCTGTGTAAAAATGTTGCCCCTCACATACTTTTTAAATCTTTCTCCTCTCACCTTAAAAATATGCCCCCTAGTTTTGAACTCCCCTACCCTCAGGAAAATACTTTGTCATTCACCTGATCTATGCCTCTCATGATTTTATAAACCTCTGTAAGGTCACACAACCTCCTACTCTCCAGTGGAAGAAAAGTCCCAACCTATCCAGTCTATTTTTATAACTCACATCCTCTATTGCAGCAACATCCTGGTAAATCATTTCTGAACCCTCTCCAGGTTAATAATATCCCTCCTGTAGCAGTACTCCAAAAGAGGCCTCACCAATGTCCTATACAACATCATATCCCAACTCCTAAACACCCTATCTACCTGTGACACAAATTTCAAAGGATCATGTACCTGAATCCCTAGGTTTGGAGCATGGTCTTGAACTCACAACCTTCAGGTTCAGAGACAACGTTGCTATCCATTGAACCACGAAAGCAAACATAGACTGGACCTCAGACTCTGTTGCTGAGTCAGTTTTAACCTTATCAGGGTACCAGATACCAAACTCCAATTGACCTCAATGATTCCCTTGGAGCGCGGAGTAAAAAGCAGGCCAGATATCCAAGGGGACATGGGTCCATTACATTGTGTCAGCCGAGGACAGAATCCTTCAAACAGTAACTCCTGGGGCAAGGGGGTTATCTGATGGAGGAAGGTTGGAAAGATTATGCTTTTGGGATAAAATAAAAATGCCTTCCCTCAGAGAGGGGTGAGCCTGTGGAATTCTCTGCTTCTGGAGCTAGATATTGTTCTTAGGACCAAGGGACCAAAAAGGTGGGTTGGCCATGCAAAAAAAAATGACTGGTAATGTCCAGGAATGCACAGATTAGGTGGATTAACCATTGGAAAAGCAGGGTTATGGGGATTGGGGTGGCTTGGTCTGGGTGGGATGTTCTTTGAAGGGTTCGGTGCAGAATCGGTGGGCTGAATGGCCTCTTTCTACAGTGTAGGCATTCTTTAATCTAGAGACATAGGGAGAAAGCAGGAATTGGGCGCTGAGTTGGATGGTCATACATGATCATACAGAATGGTGGAGCAGGCTTGAAGGGCCGAATGGCCTACACCCAAGTTTCTGTCCATTGTGAATTCAACAATAAAAACGTCACCTGACTGAAACAGCCAAGATCTTGAGGGACCTTGACAGGATAAAGTTCCAGAGGATGTTTCCCCTTGAGGGAGAGACTAGGGGACACAGCTAGATGTCTTGCACTAAAGATGGTGATGTAGGGAATTTTTTTCTCTCTGAGAGGTTCGTGAGTCTGTGGGATTCTCTGCCCTAGAGAGTAATGGGAGAAGTGGTCATTGAATACTTTTGAGGGAGATGTACGTGGACTGTTAACGAACGAGGGAGTGAAAGGAGGATTGTGGGTAGGCCAGGAGGTAGAGGAGAAGCCATAATCAAATCAGCCATGATCTTATCCAGTGGTGGAGCAGGATGGAAGGGATGAATTTGCATGCACAAATGATGACTTTCAGAGTCGAATAGGCTTCTGCATTGGCTCACAGGCCATGAATGCCAACACCATCTGACAAGAGTATACCCCTTGAAGACCAAGGGAGAGGGCAGGCACCGGACTGTTAATGATTTATTCTGTTTGGATGTTACCTTTGAAGAGCGCCTTTAAAATGATTGTATCGAACTCTTCCGTCCCATCCAGATCTGCCCTGTAGACTGTTATTAGTTGCTTGTTTTCAAAAATCCTCTCCACCTACAAGTAAACGTGTGAGGACATGAGAACATTGTGCGGTCAATAAAGTGAAGAGTAATTAAATATAGCTGATGGGCAACTATCAGCACCCAAACATGGCTAACTAAAACAAGAAGGGAAGAACAAGAGAGACAGAGAAATGGAGAGACAAAGAGAAAAGTGTTCAGTGGTACAATCCTGATTTCTGAATCACAACACAATTCTTACAGAAATGGAAGAAGGCTATTCAGCCCATCAAGTCCACAGCAACTCTCTGAAGAGTATCCCACCAAACGCACCCCCTTACCCTCCATAACACCACATTTCCCACACCTAATCTACATATCCCTAGACACTATGGGGCAATTTAGCACGGCCAAACCACCATAACCTGCACATCTTTGGAGTGTGGGAGGAAATCCACGCAGACAAAGGGAGAACATGCAAACTTCACACAGACAGTCACCCAAGGGTAGAATAAAATGGAAGTCCCTAGCTCTGCGAGAGAGCAGAGCTAACCACTGAGCCACCATGCTATCCCATTGTGGGTCCATAGACCCAGGGGAGACTTGGGTACTTACACCCTGTTGCAGCACTGAGGGAGCACTGTATTGTCAGGGAAGGTGATGGCATTGTGAGATTATCCCTAGACTATTAATCCAGAGAGTAAGGTAATGTTCTGCAAAGTTAGGCTTGAATTTAAATAGTGGAATTTGAATTGAGATAAAAATCTGAAATTAAGAGTCTAATGATGACATAAAATAGTTGTCAGTTGCTGGGGAAAACGCATCTTTTTCTCCAGAGAAGGAGACTGCCATCTGTAGACTATCTGGCACTATGTGGCTGACTCTTAACTGACCTCTGGGCAATTAGGGATGGACTATAAATCAGCAACTCCCACATCCTGTGAACGAATATAATAAAAAATGTGTTGTCTTTTGTATAATGGAAGCTCTGTCTGTTCTTTCAGGTGGATGTGAAAGTGCCATTTTGGAAAGGTGCAAGGCATGTATCCAGTGGTCCTGGGTAATGTTTATCCCTCGATTGACATTTCAGAAAAAAACTATTATGATATCTGGTCATTCTCACATTGCTGTTTGTGGGAGCTCATTGTGAACAAATTGGTTGTTGTGTTTCCTTCATTACAACAGTAACGATATCAGAAACACGATTAGAAATTGCTGGAGAAACTCAGTAGCCATGGCAGCATGTGTGGGGAGGGGATAAAAGCAAATTTAACATTTCAAGTCCAGTGACTCTCCCTCAGAACCATGGCTCAAAACGTTAACTCTGCTTTCTTCCCACAAATGCTGCCATTCCTGCTGAGTCTCTTTTTGCAATTTCTGTTTTTGCTTCATTTCTCCAGCATCTGCATTTCCTTGTGTTTTAGAAACGATAGCAGACTGGCTGTAATGTGATTTTGGAATTTCTGAGGTTGAGACCGGTGCTGTGATAGCAAGAAGGAACTTTCCCTGCCTCATTCTTGTAAAAGTGCTGGGAGATCTTTGAGGCCCACCTGAAAGAGCGCTTCAATGTATCGTGTGAAAGCCAGCATCTTTGATAATGCTGCTCTCCCTCAGTACTGCAAGCATCAGGCCGGATTGTGTGTGCACGTCTCTGAATGGTGCTTCCAAGAATAATTGTGAGCCAGAGGGAAAGCTGTTAATGCAGCTTGGGCCTTAGAGGTGTTCTACGTTGCTGACCTCTCTCCAGCCTACGGCAGGTCCCTCACTGCTCTGGACACTCACCAGCTCGACCAGCCTCTGGATGTCTTCGGAAGGGAAATGCTTCTGGATCTGCACTTCCACCTCCTTCTTCAGGGTCTCCGCTGTGAAGGATCCCATCATGACCTCAGCCAAGATGTCGGCTAGCCCCCCTGACCCTGCCAGGATGAGCCATGGGATGTTGTTCGTTGTAGCTTTGTAAATTCTCTAGAAGTCCAGGAGTGAACAGGACAGGTTTAAAATACTTGCAACATGGAAACAGGTCCCTTTCGCTCGGCGCTACCCGACCTCAGATTGTGAGACAGGAGCCTGAGGCGGCAATGGCTGAACTGGGGGGGTCACGACCTCTGAGGCAGCAATGGCTGAATTGGGGGGGTCACGATCTCTGAGGCAGCAATGGCTGAATTGGGGCTCACGACTTCTGAGTCAGTAATGGATAATTGTTGGGGAGGTCAGGCTAAATTTGAGGGTCATGCCTTCTGAGGCAGCAATGGGAAATTTTGAAGGTTGAAATAACTCCACAGAAACCGGTATCCCATCACCAAGTCATCGTTTATTTACACATGGAGAGTCCTCGACACTGATCCAGCTCCCTCAGAGTGAACAGAACCTCAAATTCCTGTTTATATCAGTCAGCCAGGGCTTCCTGATTGGACCAGGTTAACAGCCCCAATCAGGGAGCACATATTCTATGAGGTCTACCTGGCTGACCTTGCTACAATCACTACAGGGTCACAACCTCTGAGGCAGCAATGGCTGAATGGGGGGGTTCACGACCTCTGAGGTAGCAATGGCTGAATTTGGGGATCACAACCCCTGAGGCAGCAATGGCTGAATTTGGGGGTCAACCTCTGAGGCAGCAATGGCTGAATGGGGGGGTTCACGACCTCTGAGGCAGACATCAAGCTCCGACTGTGTGTGTGGAAAACCACATCCCATTTAGATCTTCATGTTTTTAGGTCATTGTGGAGTTGGATCTCTGAGATCAGATTCCAGCTTCAAAAACATCAAGGTGTGGCTAGAAGTCCTTTAAAAACTCTGAAGATTAAACATGTAGCTTCACCCTGGCCCTACCCACCCACAGGCCTCACAACAACGCCCCAACCCCACACCCTCACCCACTCCACTTTCCTCACAGTCAGAAGGGAAGAAAAAACAATAGAAACAAAAACAGTTATCCTTGGAAGCAAAGCTTCTGCTCATATAGAAACTCCATTTTGAGATGTACAAGAGCATTTGGACCAGGATGTATCATTCATACATTTTACTGGTTTCTCCTTCAGGACAGCCCACAGCCATCGCAGGGGTCACGGCACCTTTCAAATCTTGAAACACAGGGTCATGGCGGGGAAGAAAATATATGCAAAGCAGTGGTCCAATCAGTTATAACTTGGTAACTTTGTCAGGATCCCTCAGAGAAACGGTCTCTCAGTTATCGTCACCCAATGGAGAATGAGTTTGAGTAGAAAATCAAAGCAGGGGTAGGTCTTTTGCCCTTCAACCCATTCAATAAGGTCATGGCTGATCATCCAACTCACTCTCCCTCTCCCCTTCCCTTTGATCTTTTTAGTCCCAAGAACTACATCTATCTCCTTCTTAGAAACATTCAATGTTTTGGCCTCAACCACCTTCTGTGGCAGAGAATTCCACAGGCTCCCCACTCTCTGAGTGAAGATATTTTTCCTCATCTCAGTCCTCCATGACATAGTGGAGAGGATCTCCTTAAAAAGGAGGTCATCCTCTGGGAACAGGACATTTTTCATAGAATCCCTACAGTGTGGAAACAGGCCTTTCGGCCCAACAAGTCCACACCGCCCCTCCAAAGAGTATCCCACCCAGACCCACTATTCCCATGTCTAACCCACCTAACCTAAACATCCCTGGGCACTATGGGACAATTTAGCATGACGAACCTATACACTGCACATTTTTGGACTGTGGGAGGAAACCCACGCAGACACGGGGAGAATGTGCAAACTCCACACAGACAGTTGCCCGAGGCTGGAATCACACTCAAGTCCCTGGCGCTGTGAGGCAGCTGTGCTAACCACCAAGCCATCCTTAAACTCTTAGAGCCTCCCCAGCGGGAAATTGAACCCCGGTCTCCCTTGTGACAGGCAGGGGTACTAACCATTATACTACCGAGGACGCCATCTTCCAGTTAATGGGACAGGTCTGATTATTGGGCCTTTACCACCAACTGTAATGTTAGCTCCTGCTGCGACTGCCGGTCACTGTGGAGAGAGACAACTTTCAAGCTAGCGCCTGCCTGCTCACTATACATTCAGATAGAATGACTTAAATCAGCTGCTCACCTCCAGCATGTTAGGCCCCCCCTGGATCAACATGCACAGCACAGGGATCTCGATGCTTCCTCTCCCTGCAGGCAAAGAAAATAATTAAAGCACGGCCCTCTCTGGGACACAACATTAATATGAGCATTTGTCGGTTCCTTATTTGTTTGTGTGCCTCCACACATGCCTATTCTACGTCAGAACATAAGAAATAGGAACAGTAGTAGGCCATTCAGCCCTTCTACTCTGCTCCACCATTCAGTAGAACATGACTGACCTGCCTATGACCTTAACTACACCTTACCCCCAACTTCATTTTTTCCATAACTCTTGATTCTCTTTGTCGATCAAAAATCTAACTCAGCCTCGAGCAACTCAATAACCCATTCTCCACTGCTCTGGGGAAGAGAATTCCACAGATTAACATTCTTCTAAGAGAAGAAACCATACAGTCATACAACACAGGCAAGGCCTTTCAGCCCATCAAGTTTGCACTAACCTATCTACGCTAACCCCACTTGGCCCTGTGCTTGACCTATAGCCTTGAATGTTATGACACTTCAAGTGTTCATCCAAAGGCTATGAGGTTTCCAGCCTCAACCCCTACCCCACCCCTTCTCCCCGCCTCCCAGGCAGTGCATTCCAGGCCCCCAATGCCACCCTCTGACTGAAAAAAACCTTTCCTCAGATCCACTGTAAACCTTCCCACCTCTCACCTTCTCATTTCCCACTTAAAAGGAAGTGGTTGTTGTGTTTCCTTCATTACAACAATAACAATATCAGAAACACGATTAGAAATTGCTGGAGAAACTCAGTAGCACTGGCAGCATGTGCGGGGAGGGGATAAAAGCAAATTTAACATTTCAAGTCCAGTGACTCTCCCTCAGAGGCATGACTCGAAACGTTAACTCTGCTTTCTTCCCACAAACACTGCCATTCCTGCTGAATCTCTTTCGCAATTTCTGCTTTTTGCTTCATTTCTCCGATGGATTCATTCGAGAAATGTCTCACTGTCAACGGAACTCTTTCATGAGGTTGAGTGAGATGTTTGTGGAGAAACAAGGACCAGACCAATGTCTCGTGGTGGGCAATGACTGAAAACCAATTAGGGGGTGACTCTCGCACACTGTTTTAAACAAAGGGACATTGGGTCAACAACACTCTAGAGACTTGACACCAGCTTGGACAGAGCGGCCTGCCATTGTGTTGATACACACCTCCGATTCCTGTCCTCTGTGTCAATATATGTTGCTCCAGCCGTGCTTGGAACTGAATTTCTCCCCCCATTCGATTGTTGGTGCCGTCATCCACCAGAAGGAAGGCAGAGTAATTGTCATCCAGCGTGTACTCTTCATCTTTGTCACTGCTCACTGTGTATTTGGCAGGGAAGGACCCCTGACCAAATGCAAACAGCCATTTCATTAAAGAAAGAAGCAAACCTGGGCTTACAGATACACACGTGCATGCCTCTCACACACATTGTTACACATACTCTCACACTCATGTACATAGCATGGTGGCACAGTGGTTAGCACTGTTGCCTCACAGCGCCAGGGACCCGCGTTCAATTCCACCCTCGGGCAACTGTCTGTATGGAGTTTGCTGCACATTCTCCCCGTGTCTGCATGGGTTTCCTCCGGGTGCTCCGGTTTCCTCCGACGGTCCAAAGATATGCAGGCTAGGTGATTGGCCATGCTAAATTGCCCGTAGTGTTCAGGGATGTGTAGATTAGTTGGGTTATAGGGGGATGGGTTTGGGTGGGTGCTCTGAGGGTCGGTGTGGACTGGTTGGGCCGAAGGACCTGTTCCCACGCCGTAGGGATTCTATTCTATTCTATACACTTTCGCAGAGACAGACACTCAGACAAATGAACACACAGATTCTCCCAAAATAAAATTACTGGGGCTCCCCAGTTTACGAGCGTTTGACGTATGAAGGTTTGTACATACAAACACAATCCCATACTGGGGTATAATGTTAAAGGTCTGACATACATTTCCTGTAATTACGAACAGCTATTTTATATTGCCCTGCATGGAGTTCCAACTTGCAAGCTTATCAACTTGCAAGCACACTCAGGAACAGAACCTGTTTACAACCCAGGAATTGTCTGCACACAAATAACTTTGCAGAAATATGCACATTTGAACAAACATACAGATATACATATATACAGCTGCAGGACACACATGCGTAAATACAGATACACAAAAGTGATAAAACCATAGATAATAATGGCTGTTCATAAAGTTTGTAAAGCAACTTTAAACATAGAACATAGAATCTCTACAGTGCGGAAGCAGACCATTCGGCTCATTGGTCCACACTGACCCTCTGAAGTGCATCCTAACCCTCCCCCCTCCCAAATTTATCCCCATAATCCTGCATTTCCCATGGCTAATTTACCCAACCTATACAACTCCAGACACTATGGGCAATTTAGAATGGCTAATCCACCCAACCTGCACATCTTTGGACTGTGTGGATTAGGGGGGTGGGATGCTCGGAGGATCAGTGTAGACTTGTTGGGCTGAAGGGCCTGTAACCGTATTGTATTTATTGTATATATTGTAATTATACAATAATCCAATACACACTTTAAAAACATGTGCACATTCTCACTGACACGCACACACACACACACATTCGTACATACACACTCATACACACAATCTCATTCTAACATATATTTGCGTTTGGAATATCACAAGGCAATTCACACCAACAGCGATTCATGCCCATCTCTTTAGAAGGTAGCAGTGGTGAGCTGCTGTAGTCTGTGTGGTATAGATACATCCACAATGTATTTTCTCTTGCAGTTCGATAGCATTAACTGTATTATTGCATCATTTCAAAGGGCAGTGAAGAGTCACCCACATTGCTGTGGGTCTGGAGTCACAGGTAGACCAGTTCAGGTAGGGATGGTAGATTTCCTTCCCTGAAGGATATGGGTGATTCAGATTTATGTTTTTACAACAATCTTGTAGATTCATGGTTGTTGTCCAGATTTATGACTTGAATCTAGTTACTCAAATGCTACGGTACAAACAGAACCCAAGTCTCCAGGTAATTAAGCCAGATGTCCAGATTATGGGTATAGTAACATTCCAGTTGGGTTACTGTGCCCCCAGCACACACTAATGATGATCATGTACCATCCTGCTGGTAATATCCCATTTCACTGGGAGGAGGAGACTTACTTTCTCACTTTATTCTGTGGAATTATCTTTCCCAAACAGTAGTAGAGTCAGGGTCCTTGAATTTGAGTTAGGTAGATTTTTGATCAAGTGAAGTCAAAGGTTATGGGGAGTGGGCAAAAAAATTGCTTAAGGCCACAATCTGATCAGACATGGCATTATTGTAAGGCAGACCAGGTCCCTAACTCTATCAGTGGGCCAAATGGCCTACCCTCCTCCATATTCTTATGTATAAGCCAATGCAGTCATATCTATTCTGACAAAGCCCCCTAATCTGTCAGTTCTGAGGAAGGGTCACCTGACCCGAAATGTTAACTCTGTTTTGTTTTTCTTCACAGATGCTGCAGGACCTGCTGAGCTTTTCCAGCATCGTCTGTTTGTGCCCCGAATCTGCCAGTCTTACCTTGGGGTTCACAAGACGCTCTTTCTCGTACACTATTCCCCAAGGTGCTATCCCCATGGCAACCACCTTGGCAGTCGACCGTGTATTTGCTGTAGCATGGTCACGCACTGCCTGACCAACGTACTTGCCAATCCCAACTTGTAGTCCACTCGTCATAATCCACGCTCCTGTGAGAAGGATCAACATGAACATGATCAACCTAATGTGGGAGCGTATCTGCTAACTGAGGGTTAATAGGTTGAAATTGTCGTCTCATTAGGCCAAGCAGCAGTGACCATTGTTTTAGTCTACCTGAACACTTGTTGTTAACTAAGGGTTAATGGGTTCAAATTGTAATAGCCTAGTCCTGCACATATTCTCTATGTTTCTAAAACAAGGAGAAACAGGAAATGCTGAAAATACTCAGCAGAACTGGTAGCACCTGTGGAAACAGAAACAGGGTTAACGTTTTGAATCCATTAGGATTCTTCTTCAGATTTGAAGAGCCATGTTGGATTCAGACACTTTGTCTCTCCACGGACACTGCCTGACACACTGTGTACTTTCAGCACTTCCAGCTTTTATTTCAGATTTCCAGCATTGCACTTTAATTTAAATGCAGACAAAAGTCGTATCCTACTTGTTAGCCATGGTTTTGGGGGGTGGGGTAGTGGGGATCCTCACCTGTACTTTGTGCAGCTTTGACTAGTCCTCGACGGAGGATGTCCTTCAGCCAGGTCTTCATCTTTAAGTTCTGTTCACCCCCGACAACGGACACCACCAGGTTGGGATGCGCTATCCCCCAGAAATGGGTGATGAGGGTGTAGACGATCGCAGGGTCAGTGTCCGAAGAAAGTCGCACAAACTGTGAAGGAGAACAGCCTGCATTTACATAGCGCCGTTCACTGCCTCCACAGAGCGCTTTGCAGGCCAATGAAACGTGGCCACCCCGTAACCGGCTGACTTGTGCACAGCAAGATCCCACAAACAGAAACGTGCCAATGGCCAGATCAGCTGTTTGTGAGGTCAGTTGTTTGTCCAGGGAACCACTCCCCTGCTCTTTAAAATAACGCTGCAAGATTTTTATTTTTAAAAAAAATTCTTTCCAAGCTGGGAGATAGAGCCCCAGTTTAATACCTCACCCAAAAGGCAGAACGTGTTCACAATCAGGGTAGATTTTTACGCAGGTAGACAACAAAATCCAACAGGGCCATTTTGAAGAACAGCTGGGAATTTCCGCTGGGGGTGTACAACACATGGATAGCTCTTTCAGTGAGTGTAAGATGGGCTGAATGGTCTCCTTCTGTGCTGTGTGATTCTACCATTCGACCCATGATCCGGGGTCAACTTCACTGAGTGGTCCGCTGCTGCATTAAAGAGTGGAAGTGAAACCCCCTCATTCCTACCTTGCCTTGCCTTCTCCCTTTCCTGAAAAACGCCACGTCTCCAAAAGCGTCGGTTGGCTCCTCTGTCGTGTGATCTGCCGTGTTCCATCTGCTGACCACGGCAGCCCCAAAGTTGTCCTCCATTGCCACCTGTTTGTGGCAAGTCTTGGGATAACCGCATTGGCAGAGCTGCAGTTTGCTGAAGGGAGTGAGACGTGTTAGCCGAATTGGTCAATAGAGAGATAAAGAGGAACTTTAAGTTTCCCTACATGCTTCAAATTCTGGCTTTCCACCCCGTTCTGATTTCCTTCATCCCTTGACTGTTCTCTCTGTCTTTTACTGCCTAGGATCTGAGCTCTAAAGATTCTCTCCCTAAACCTCTCCACCTCTTTCTCCTCCTTCAAGGCATTTACCAAAATCTATCCCTTCGACAAAAAGATTAAAATTCGGACCAGAAGCAGACCATTCAGCCCCTCTAGCCCATTCCACCATTCAATAAAATGATGAATGATCTGACTATGGCCTCACCTCCACTTCCCTTTCTCTCCCCACAACCCTTGAGTCCTTTGTCAGTTGAAAATCTGGCCAACACAACTTTGAATATAGTCAATGACCCAACTCCAACTGCATTGGGGAAGAGGATCCCATTCATTAATGATCTTCTGAGGGAAAGAATTTCTCCTCATCTCAGTGTCAAATAGAAAATGGTGTCCTTTAGTCTTGGACTCCATCCACAAGGGGGAACATCTCAGTATCCATCTTGTCAAGTACCCTCAGAATCTTATATGTTTTGTAAGGTCACATCTCATTCATCTAAACTCCAACAGATATAGCCTCAACCTACTCAGGTGTTCCTCATAAGCTAACCCCTTCATCCCAGGAATCAGTCAAGTGAACCTTCTCTGAATTGCTTTCAATTCAATTACATCATCTCTTAAAAAGGGAATTTCTTCAGCCAGAGAGTGGCAAATCTGTGGAGCTCATTGCTGCAGAGGGCTGTGGAGGCCAAGTCATTGAGTGTATTTAAGACAGAGATAGACAGATTCTTGACTGGTAAGGGGATCAAGGGTTACGGAGAGAAGGCAGGAGAATGGGGTTTGAGAAACATATCAGCCGTGATCGAATGCTGGGGCAGACATAACAGGCCGAATAGCCTGATTCTGCTCCTGTATCTTATGGAGACAAAACTATACATAATACTCCAGACATGGGCCTGTACAGCTGCACCAAACTTTCCCTTATTTATACTTGATTCCCCTTGGAATGAATGTCAATATTCCAATTGCATTCTTAATCACTTGCTACACTTGCAAACCAACCTTTTGTGATTCATGCACCACCTATTCCTTTTGTGGCTCAGTGTCACATTTTGACAGATGATGTGCCTGTGGAATTCTGGGAAATTATTTATTGTGTTTAAGGCATTATGTAAATACAAGTTACCATGGTCGAACTTTCTGGGAGGGCCCTAATTGTAACCTCAGAGCAATTGTTCTTTCCTTCTTTATGTAACCAACAGTCCACTTCCCTTTATGTATCCCAGAGTGTGCACTGTCTTTCTATCCCCAAGCATTATATTACTCATGGTCTATCTATCCCACAGTTTCCTGAAATTAACCTCCCTGCTTCTATCTGGTCTATTTCCTTCATAATTTTATACGTTTCTATAAGATGCCCCCTCATTTTCTCAATTCCAATGAATATAGTCCCAGCCTACTCAATCTCTCCTCATAAGCGAACATTCTCAACTTTGGAATCAACCTCATGAACATCCTCTGCACCCCCTCCAGTGCCAGTACATCCTTTCTCAAGTATGGAGACCAAAACTGTACACAGTACTCCAGGTGTGGACTCACCAGCATCCTATACTGATACAACATAACCTCCCTCTTTTTAAACTTCATCACACTAACAATGAAGGAAAATATTTTGTTGGCCTTCTTAATTACCTGCAAACCAACTTTTTGTCATTCGTACACAAGTACACCCAGGTCCCTCTGCACTGCAACATGCTGCAATGTTCTTATGTTTGCAACATTGTGCATACAACAAGCTAAAGAAGGATCAAATAAGTTAATATTTCAAATTCACCAATAAAAATACAATGTCTTTGACTGCAATCACAGGCACATTTTCAAAATCTGCTCAACTTAACAATTTCTAATTATTCGTGAACAATGGATCAGAGCAAAACACAACATGGAGTAAATTGTAGCTAACCCATCCTAGCCCATCAATCCTTCTGGAGTATTCTTCCTTCTATGTTCTCTATTCATCCTTTACCTTTGAGTAGCTGTATCCTCTAGGAAGGTGGAACAGATTTTCTTCTTTATCACCTTGGGGATCCAGCTCTGTTGAACAGAAATACACCAACATTCACCAGATTAGTTCCTCACTGGGTACTTCATCAATGAACAGGTATTGCCGTGAGACTGACAGTCAATATAGTTATAACTGAGATGAGAGAGTGGTCTTTTGATAAGGGGCTGCTTAAATTGGGTCTATATCATTTGGAGTTTAGAATAATGATAAAGTTTATTATATATCCTGCTATTAGAGCTGATGGGCCTCCTTGATTCACTGGTAGTTACTTGATGCTGTTACTAAGTGGTGGCGAAATGATCAGATCTGTATCACTGCAGTGATGCACAATAAGTAATGTCTATTTCTTCTCTCTTAGACCAGAGATATTCCAGACGCTGAAAAGATTGGATTGTCTGTGCCCCTTGAACACTCATTTGAATTTGGTAAGTCTGAAGAGCTGACAAGAATTGATTTTCAAATGAGTATTGAATCTTGAGTATCACAGCGGGTGTCCAAATGGAAGTCTCATTGATTTCTTTGTCCCAGTTGAGGAATACACCAAGGGATCCTACATCTAACAGTTTCCAATGACTGAAGGATTGATGACTGCAGAATTAAGATAATTGGCAAAATAACCAAAAGTAAAAAAACGTTGTTTAAGCAACTAGAAGTTAGGATTTTGAACTGCACCGACTGCCTTTATTGGTCAGTGCATTGAGTATAGGAGTTGGGAGGTCATGTTGCAGCTATTCAAATTATTGGTTAGGCCACTTTTGGAATATTGCGTTCAGTTCTAGTCTCCCTGCTATAGGAAAGATGTTGTTAAACTGGAAAGTGTTCAGAAAAGATTTACAAGGATGTTACCAGGGTTGGAGGGTTTGAGCTACAGGAAGAGGCTGAATAGGCTGAGGCTATTTTTCCTGGAGCATCAGAGGCTGAGGGCTGACCTTATGGACGTTTATAAAATCATGAGGGACATGGATAGGGTAAATAGTCAAGATCTTTTCACCAGTGTAGGGGGAATCCAAAACTAGAGGGCATTGGATTAAGGTGAGAGGAGAAGGATTTAAAAGGGACCTAAGGGGCAACTTTCTCACACAGAGGGTAGTGCGTGTATGGAATGAGCTGCCAAAGGAAGTAGTGGAGACTGGTATAATTACAACATTTAAAAGGCATCTGGATGGGTAAATGAATAGGAAGGGTTTAGAGGGATATGGGCCAAATACTGGCAAATGGGACTAGATTAATTTAAGATATCTGGTTGGCATGGACAAGTTGAACCAAAGTTTCTGTTTCCGTGCTGTCCAAATCAATGTCTCAATGAAAATGATGAATTCAGAAGGAGTTTTCAACAGAAATACCCAGAACAAAATATGCAGGAGTATGGGGAATGATTGCAGTAATGGTAATAAGAGGATTGTCTTTCAAAAGAGCTGGTGCAGACTTGGGCTGAAAGGCATCCTTCAGTGTTGTACCATTCTTTGATTCTAATGAGAGACGATCTCATCAAGACATACAAGATTCTGAAGGAGATTGACAGAGATGACACTCAGAAGCATTTCCCCCGTGTGTGAGGGAGCTAGAAAACGGCGCACAGCTCATTTAGGACTTAGATGAGGAGATGTTTCTTCGCCCAAAGGGTTGCGAATCTTTGAACTGCTCTACCTCAAAGGGTTGAGGATTCGCCACCGTTGAAAATATTGAAGGTTGGGTTAGATGGATATTTTTGAGATGGATCTCAGGAATTCAAGGATACAGGAATAGTTGGCCTGAACACCAAAGGTCATCCATTATCGTAATGAATGACAGAGCAGATTCAAGGGGCTAAATGACCTATTCTGCTACTATTTCTTATGAAATAACCCTTATTATTTCGTAACATCAACAATCAATGAGGCACAATGCAAATTATGATGAAATGATGGCAAAGTGATTACATTCAGAGATAATAGGAACTGCCGACGCTGGAGAATCTGAAATAACAAGGTGTAGAGCTGGATGAACACAGCAGGCCAGGCAACATCAGAGGAGCAGGAAAGCTGATGTTTCGGGTCTGGACGCTTCTTCAGAATCCTGCTCCTCTGATGCTGCTTGGCCTGCTGTGTTCATCCAGCTCTACACCTTGTTATCTCAGATTCTCCAGCATCTGCAGTTCCTGCTATCTTTAAGACAATTGTTAATGTTTTACTAAATATTTTAGCACTGTATAAAAATAAAACAAAACTCATTTGTCTGTTGGTATGAAGATCAATAAACTCCAATACATGCCATTGGTGACTTGGGCCTGAAGAAGCAGTTCAATAACACTGCGTTAAAGCTGCTGAATCATTCTGCACTCGCACCATGTAAACTTTAGTGTGCTGTTATGAAGAAAAGCAGCATTACCAGTTGTAAAGCTGTGAAACACCAAGGGTATTATACTAACCTGAAACTAATGCTAACTCTTAGCACTGAGAAGGTTTGTTCGATTAACTAAATTCCATACGAATGGCCCACTGCCTGCCCATTCCTATGTGAGTGCTCTTTTAAATTGCACTGTTCTTGTAACAAATAATATTTTATCTTTAAACGTACATATTTGTACCCCCAATTTGTTTTCTTTATTCCTCGCAAAACTAAATCGTGCTTTAAACAGCAACCTTATGCTCAGTAAAACCTCAAGATGACAAGTGGTCAACTTTCTCAAGCTAGCATGCGATAACTGGCATTCACATTAAATGTCACAAAGACAAATGTCTCCGCACTTGTAAATAATGCAAATATGCACTAAACACTACCCACCCAAATATTTAAAATGAAAGTGTGGTACACATTCCCAGATCTCAAATGTTAGTATACTTCATATGGTGCCAGACATTTTCTACTGGAGATGCAGAACAAGTGCAAACCAGCCGCATCTTTCCTCAGTACTGAATCCTGCTGCTACTGCTGCTCTTCAATAAGAAATGTTTCTTCTGTCATGTGTGATTTAAAATTCAATGGATGACATGAAATGTTCTCCAGCCATCACCTGCTCTTTTTTTTTTGCATTCTCCAATTGATAATGCCAAAAATAAATGGGCAGGTGGCTGCGGAGAGTTATTAACGTTGGTTTTCCAATATATTGCCGGTTTATGTATGGTAACATGCTTCTAGAGAATACGTACTAGGAAAAGCTGAGTGATCGCGTGTGAACAAATTTTTCGGAATGTATATGTAAAATAAAATAATGCACCTAAACACTGTTTGTCCATGTTAAAATAAAGTTAAAATTATAATTCAATGGCAAAGATC